TGGAAAGATCACGTCGAGTATGTAAGCAGCAAAGTCAGTAGGAGGCTAGGGCTTTTGTCTCTTATACGATCATGCCTCACGCTGGAAGCCTCTTAACGGGTATACACTTCACTCTTGCAGCCGTTATTTGACTATGCTGATGTTGCGTGGGGGGAAATCTCAGAGGGGTGTTGCAAAGAATTACAGCGCCTACATGCAGAACCACGCATTACGGAAGAACACCTCAAATGACACTTTCCGTGTGCTTAACTGGTTAAATCTAGCTTCCAGAAGGAAAATGTACAAATTTTTTCTAGTTTTTAAGCGCTTAAATAATCTGGTGCCCAAATATCTGACTCAATATTTTACATGGAATGCGGATTTGCACCGGTCATGCAATTAGGACGGAAAGATCGACCTGCATCCACCAAAGCCTAAACGTAACATGGGCAAAAGAACTTTTAAGTATTCAGAGACCATTTATTTCAGTTCTTTACCCAATTGTGTTAAAAGTGCCACGTCCTTAAATAGTTTTAAAAATATGATAATTAAGTATTTTAAGAAGAATTGGATTTACACCAAATGTACTCAGTGCACATTGTTGCAAAAAAGTGCAAACTACGTTTAAATCTAGGGCAAAGAAGGTCAATACCGCGTTTGCCCTCGAATTTACAACCCCATGTAAATGCGGTATTTACCATCTCTGCCTTTGATTTCCCTCTAGTTTGCACATTTTGGAACCATATTTGCACTGAGTAAATTTGAGTAAATCCAATTTTTCTTGCCACGCGCGCGATCGATCGATCTTATTTCTTATGTCTTGGCACACACTTATTAGATTTTACAGTTGGCGGTGAATATTTTGGTTTTCAGTACGGCTAACCGTCAGTTTTCTTCTATACTGTACGTTTAAGAGACATTTGAAGAAGAAAAATTAAATCAATTGCGTTGAAAAAGCGGAAAAGTTTCCATGGGTTGAAGTTCTTACGACCTTTCCAGAGTGAAAAAAGAGGCTGAAATCAGGACTGGATCGAAATGTGATCTATCAGCGATCACAGCGGGATATGGAAAGTCGCAAAAAAGTTGACACTCAACATAATAAATTGTGTTTATTAACTTTTATTTACAACCAACGGAAACTTCCATTCATTAGGCCTAACGACTAAAATTTTGACTGTTTACGGCCGAACGATGAAACCCATAGACAACCCGACATTTGGGTCTTCAAAATTTATTTATGCAAAAGACCACACTTTCTATAGGTTTACCGGCGTGATAACCTACCCGGGATGTTAGGAGTACACGAGAAAGGCTTGTTAATCACGAGCCGAAGGCCAGTGATTTACAAGCTTTGCGAGTATTCTCCCAACATCCCAAGTGGGTTATCACGCTTGTAAACCCATAGAAAGTGTGGTCTATTGCTTTTATAAGATAACTTTAAGTTTCCAATGAGTTTACCGGCACAACAAACCATAGGTTTGTCCAATCAGAATGCGCGTACTATCTTAGTTCTTTTATAAATTTAAATAATATGGTCACTGACATTCCACGTTTTTAAGGCTTTTTAAAAATACTCGTCCTAATGGGAACTCGGCTTATACAAACAACAAACAAATTCCAGCCACATTCTTCACCTTTCTACCTTCACGAGGGCTGGTTTATTAAATTATGGAGCCGACCCGCTTTGGCAATTTAATGGTCTGCATTATACTCTGCAAGTAGTTCTTCGCGCAGTTTCTTAAAGTCAAAATCGCCAATCGGCAGAAAATCTTCTACCGATTCGCCAACAAGATAATTAAAATAGGGCCATTGAATCTGATCTCTTTCGCCAAATTTGTAGCATTGAATGGTGGCGCAGAAGTGATCCTCTGACTCATTTGAGAGTTTGTGTGTTTGAAACCAGTTAGATGACATCCAGGTGATATCTCCTTTAGACACGGTAAAACTTAAGAGTTCTTCCTGATTCCCTTTCCATGTCTTATTATAGTTGCTAACTCTTAGGGCTCCATGGAGAACCTTAATTACAGCATAAGCATTTCCATGGTTGTGGATTGGACTGAAAGATTTCGGTGGCCAGATCTCTAATACATAAGGAATGCCAGGCGAAGATCCTCTATGGCAGCCGAGGGTGATTCTTAGATATGACATCCCATTTCCTAGGCCTTTTTCCTTGAGCTTTTCGTAGAGAATCTTGCCTGGTGTCTTGATGCTGTAATCGATGGCAACCGACAGATTAGGCGTGCTTTGGGGCCAGTCCAGATCCACGTTTGCGGAGGCGACATTCTCATAAAGTTCACGGCATGTTGGTGGAAGGCTAGCTGACAACATGTATTTATTATTGCTCAGTTCAACGAGTGACGCTTTAGTACTGTCTAAAACAAGAGGAGACCAGTTATGGGTTAATGGATGTGGATACAAGGTCAGGCTGTTATCGCTCGGAATTTCGATTCCCTTGAGATCAGGCCTGAATGAAAATAACTTTCGTAGACCTAATTTGAAAGCTTCAAACCCCTTTGTACATTTCAAATCTTTGATGGCTACTTCCTTTACTGTGTCTGGAGAAAAGATAAAATTCCACGGATCTTGAACATTCTTCTGTGGCAGAGGAAACTGCTGAGTTAACAGAGTAGTCTCTTCCATGATGTATCCCTTTCCGTACTTGAGAATTCTTTGATTGCGATCAAAACTCAACCAGTAGGACACTTTTTCCCCCTCATCTAAGCCGCTTTTCGTGTGAGTTGTACTTTTTCCATACAGCACATTGGCTGTTTCGTTTCCTGGATGTCTAAATGCAAATATTGCCTTGCCTTTGTGAACTTGGATCTCTACATAACCTTGTGTATCATCATCATATGGCTCTGATAACGCCCTGACGCGAATTGAAAAAGGTGAGTATTGTTGAAAAGTGGCCACAATGCTTCCCTGTCCGCGCAGAGTAAGTATATGACTAACATCTGTAGACGCTGATGGCTCGCCGAGTGCCATGGCTAATATGGAGTTGCTATAATGACCTTGGTTCAACTAAATATAGCGATAATTCTTGTACGTTTGAAAA